ATCTGTGCAAAAACCAAAGTGTAAAGACTGTTTCTTGGCCGGTCTGATCTGAACATTAAGCCTGATTGGAGATAAAATGTCATTGTGGGTGGCACAATTGCACACTATGAGGCTATGGACATGATGTAAACTCTTCTTGTCCTCCATCTTCACAGCTGGCAAGACTGATATTAAATTACACCATTGTGGTACAGCAAAATGATAAAGATATTTGCAGCACATACCGGGAAACTTCCTCATTGGTTGTGGTGAGCACTGTCACTGGGAAGTGGAGCTATAGGCACAATGCCCAGTCTGGTCCAGCCTCTCAAGGCTTGGCTCCTAAGTAGGACAGAGTGATGGGATTGTCAGTGAATGTGGTGCAGATTATCAAAAGATGCACAGGGGCAATCTATGATTTCATGCTGGGTTTCCACAACTGGTTTGGGAAAGGAGCTGTTGATCCATTACGCATTACAATTACAGAGTATTATTCACAGAGTACAGAGAACTTTGATACTGTGACATGTGATTTTGTGACAAACATATCTTTCAGGTTCCCTGCTGTTCATCAGAAAACCCTTGATTTTGGAGCCATTTACCACCACATAAAGACAAGAGACAGACTTTTTAATTAAGCCTGCACTTGCCACTCCATCATCAATACCAAAATAAGACATCTCTGTAATGGATTATCTAGAGAAAGGTTTTAGTTAGTCTTATACCATACCAAAATTAACTAAAATAAAAATTAAAAAAATGGTTGTCTCAAAAGGTATGAAAAACACAACAAGCTACAACAACATTAAGCTTTGGTTTTTGTACAGGCAACACTGTAAAGATTACAAGATGTGCAACTGCATTATTTGTGATTTGTCAATTATTAGATTCACCTCCTTATTGGCAAGGGTCCAGATATCCTAAGAATAAAATTCAAATCACTGCTCATAATCGTATCCTTCTGATTACAAGAGAAAGATTGGGATCTATCGGTGGGGGTTGGAACGTACGCAGATTAATAGATAAATGAAGAGCTGTAGACTCTGTAAATGTCAGCAAGAGTAACTTTTTATCTCTGAATATGATAAAAGAAACAAGGATGACATTCAGTATGTAACTTCACAACAACAGTGTCATATGTAACCTAAAGGAAAGCTTTTATGAAACACTGTGGCTTCAGCAAGTAAGAACACTCTGACAGAACAGGCAAGTGAAAGAAAATCAAACCCAATCACCTCCAGTGTTAACTGCTGTACAAGGACATTGCTGGGCTATGACCATCTTCTTAAACCTAATGGAAATAGTTCTATGGTTCAACAAGCACAATCAAATACAGAGCGCTAACAACCTTGCTGACCAAGAATGTTCAATTTGTGCTTCTTCCCCTTGTTCTTTTCTTTATATACGGGGCAGAAGTGTATATGTAGGCATACTGCACATGCACCCCACACACACACACACACACACACACACACACACACACTGGTCTAAAGACTCCAGAGACCAGGAGCGCCCTTTCTCTTTCCCTCGTTTTCTAATCCTGGCAATTAGCGAGAAATAATTAATGATAAAAATGAAAAAGTTGAGGGCACAGAGCCTTGAAGATAGAGTTCTGCACCGTAAGCATTCAATTCCCCCTCTCAAGGTCCTCAAGGTCCACTGCTCTCTGGCTCTGATCCTCATACTGGAAGAGGCTTGAACAAAGGCCTCTTTGATATTAGCCCGCCCTGCGTCACCCGCTTACACCCTCCTTCTACATTTTATACACACTTTCATTTTCCTTTTCTTGTTTTCCTACTGTCCTAACTGTTGTTGCATACAACATACTGGCTAAGGGTCGAACAAAAAATAAAACTTTGAAGGTTACACCAGACATCGGCAGCACCCCACACCTAGTGTAAGTCTTTGTTTGATTGCCTCCCTGTGAAATTAATAAGAGCTGCCATTAACAATCTGGTATAACTAGGGAGTCGGTAGACATGTAGCTGTTAAGTGATCCAAATAAAACTGCAGCTGAACCTTGTAGTGCAGCGATGGAGCTTGTGGTGGGGGGAATGGGGAGGTTGTGACCTTGTGAAGTCACTTCGGGGCCACATACAAGCATAATGTGTTCTTGTGATCAGCAGAGAAACTGCAATGTCATCCTCAGGAGGCTTGGGAACAACTGTCTAAACAGGCTTTTTTTATACGTACAACTACATCTAGATTTTCCCCAAAGGAAATCAATATTCATATTTACATGTAGTTCAGTGTATGTGTGCATTTGCATGCATGTGTGTATCTACTTTCACTCTGAGCAGACAGCTAAAGAGATGACATGACGGAGAGCGAGAGAGAGGAAGGGGAGGGGGGGAAACACTTCTGAGCACTCCTGCCCTCTAGCGGCGGTTTGAAGTAGTACCTCTGTGCGAGGAAGGCTGCGACTGAGTTACAGTAGAGGAGGGACTGCCGTGTGAATAGTCTGGGGGTTTCTGCTTATTGCACCACCTCTTCCTCCTGAAGGGTGGCTTTGATCTTTGCATACATTTAAATTTCAAAATACCAATGGGTGGTAAAGCTCATTCATTCATAAATGCAGCGACTGGGATTTAGATCTCGAATTACAGAGAGAGTAGACATCATTTCATAATACTCTTCAAGCTAATTGTGTTTCACTTGCCAGATATTTCCAATGCTTGATATCAGACTGTGAATATTGACTTCATAGAGATGTTTTACTTGCCACTGGCAGTGATAATTTTGGTTGAATTTGAAGCATGAAGATAGACAAGTCCTATTAGAAGCATGTTAGATCTTTTTGGACACATGTGTTTGTTTTAATCTAATCCAAAGCACTGCACACTTTTGATAAGCACAGGAATTCAGTTCAGGAATACTGATGTGGATGCGAGTGTGAAACTAATATAAAGCAAATAAGGATCATCACAGTATTAAAAATGATTGTGAAGCCTATAGGAAGGTGTTTGATCAGATGGATCTGAGTTAAAACTGTTACTGCAGTTTATGCTTTTGGCCAGCAGATGGCATTAGCAGTTAGTGCAGTGTGCAGTGGTGCAATGCTACCACCCCGATGTTGCCCGTCCTCCAAGTCAGTGTCTATAGTCAGGCAGTCTACTTGTGGACCAAAGACTTTTCTCATTTTGACCAGACAACTTAGGTTCCACATTTCAGGAAAACATTACAAATCCATGCAGTTTGCACATTTGAATTAATTTCACTCCATTAGACTCTGCTTGATGTTTCAAACTCCCCAACTGCTAACCCTTCCACACACTCAAACTCACACACACACATCCCTGTCAAAGTGTCTTCGAAAGAAAGAGAGAGAAAGTGAGAGATCATTAATACACATGCTAAGGAGCGTAGTAAAACTTGTCTGGGGAATCAATAGAAACATCAGAAGGAGGAAGAGGAAGATTAGATATTGACTGAGCTAATGGGGTGAGGTGAGAAAAAAAAATCTGCATTTAACTAACTGGTGTTTTCATCTAGCAGTACTATTCTGGCCAGTCTAAACAGACAGAGAAAAGTGTGAACTGTAAAATATACAGACAGTATCATCATGAGTGTAGTAAAATAGTGTGACTGCACAATTGCTGCCATATTAGATAGAAATGTGCAAACATTTTTCTTTAGCTGGATTTATAAAAAAGTTTAACACTGCCACCATTAATTTAAAGTTATCAGATGTTAAAAGGCACAATTCACCACTTTTACCACAAACAGTTTTGTGCTGTGATGGGACTGTTTTTAGTCAAGACTACTACGGAGAAGACATGAACCTACTTTGTCCTGCATCCATTTATTACTGAATAGCTTTTGTATTAAGAAATACAGAAAATTTCCTATACACTGCTGGTAAAAAAATAAGTTTTACATGCATTTAATGCATGAGCCCATTTTCATTTATGCAATTGAAACTGTAAGATTACAGACACATTTGTTGTTTTAATGACCCACATGCCCTCCTTTGCTCAAGAGCAATGTGTTTGTATCTCCCTAGGCTGAGCTTAACAATAACAAATGCCTGCTGCCCTGAGGACAGTAGAAAGCCACACCAAAATACATTCATGCTCTCTATTCAAGCAGAAAATTGCGGAAAGAAACTACCAAATATCTTATTTTGTACTTATAGCCTCTCTGCTTTTAGGTTGTTCCTGACATCTGTGACAAAGACAAGTTACAGGAACACACGCACATACAGTTTGTATAATATTTAAAATACTAATCATGTTGTTGATCATCATCATCAATACTGCCACAAGCACAACATTCAAGCTTTCCAATCTGCCTGGAATCAGCATTTGAGCTAAAAACAAAATGACAGCGGTAAAAGAAAGTTAACAAAGAGGAAAAGGCAATTCACTTTCCTCTGAAAAACATGATGATACAAATGTTGTTCTAACAAATAGACAAGATGTATTAAAGGCAATGAGTCAACAATAAAGACAGCAAGTTGCCAAATCCCAATCAGATTTTACATCATTTTGTATCCTTATTTATAAACACATGATAATGTACCTTTTGGTTTCTTAATGTAGCTGCATCAAAACTCAATGGACTCAGTCTTTTGACTTTACTGTGTTACAGGTATTAAAAAGGTGGAGCCAGTAGGATTATGTACATGCAAATATTGAACCATGCTTGCATGAGTTGGAAGAATTTCCAAGTACAATGGTTATACCATCTAAAATGTAATGATACCAAGGTACTGGTAAAATGTACTACCATATTGTACCACCCAAAGCCACAGCAAGGATGACAAATGCATACAGCATGATAATATTTCACCTCATGCAGTGCAAACGTCATGGACCAACCAGGTCACATGAACTTGAACAAAGAGTAAATGAAGTCTATTCATAACAAAAAAATACCCACAACCCCTCTATTTATCATGGATTTTTATGGTTTTGGATTTCTCATATGTGAAATAAGTAGTCCTGTTCCCTGATATTGACACTGCTGTCACTGTAATAACAAAATAAAATATTAAAGATATGTATACATCATCTACATACCTGAAATAACCACATGTTGACACAGCAGGTACTCCAGAAACGTTTTGCAGAGTGGCTGATGGGTCATAGGTTGCATGTCTGCTCTGGGGCTCCAGTCATCTTGCAGAATCAATCCAATTCCACCATTCCCCAGGATAAAAGTGTTTATCTTTACTAAGTCAAATGACACATCTCATCACCTACAAATAAATAAATCAGTAAATAAAGCAATGCCATTTTAAGTGTATAATATCCAGGCTGGCCTTGCTTTGCTAAAAGATGACATCTTTATAAACGTGTACAGGAATTAACTTAGCTTATGCACAACACGTTAAATTACCCCCCACCACGTCTGCAACATATATTCCTTTTTAGCTAGCAGTTACCTGTGTGCTAGTTTTCACTTTTAGCTAACAATAAGCATTTGTTTTGTTTTGAGCTGTACAGTAGCTACTAGCTAATTTAACGCTTAAAGCTAACGTTAGCCTTATTGGCTAACACGTTTAGCCATTAGGTAGTAACGTTAAAGTGAACTGTAGTAAAACTAAAGCTGGCTAGAAAAAGTCGACACTACATGCTATTATATAGCATAGCATTTACATAGTAGGTAGCGTACAACATAGTAAAGCTTCTGAAGATGAAGTTACTGAATTAGCATTGCTGTTTTTGGTGTTGCTAAATGTAAAGTTAATGTTACACTCACTTGTTCATCATAAACCGTGGCTTAAAGGTTCACTTCTCTCAGATAAAAAACTGGTGGTACAGTAACTTATCAAGACATGCAGTCAGACAGGTGACAGATTAAAAGAAAAGTCTGATGGAGGAACTTTAGAAATACGGATGATTCCACACAGGTGTACTGCATTAATGTTACACAATTGAGCAATTAACATCTTATCATGCTCTGCATAAAGTCGGATGAATAATCAGCATTTACACTCTCTAGTTTAAGCTTAGCTGTTTATCTCTTTGATATTTTACTGAAAAAAGACACATGGTGGTCTTTTTTCCTAAATAAAATTGTATATATAAACTGCAATGTTAGCAGATTAAATTATACTGTGTAGCCTACTATACTACTATGTAGCCTAGTGTTACTCCATCTTTTTTGAAGAAGTAGGATTGCCTATTGGTAACCTTATAGTTAGAGATAAGTATTGGTATCATATGCATTATCATTATTGTTATCCACCCTGGTATTTTTTGGAATCACATCAAAACCAGAAAACTGGCCACAGTGTGTCTGCGCACCACAAATCCATTGTTGATCTATTCTAGATGCGCCACCTAATTGGCAGCTGACCCCTCCCATCCTGGTCACTCTGGCAGGATGCTGGGTCCATTAGGACCAAAACCTCTGTCCACAAAAACAGCTTCTACCCTTCTGCAGCTATCCTCATTAGGGCCCAGGTCCCTCAGTGACACTCCTCCCTTCCCTCTCAAATACTGTATAGCCTATCTTTGCACATGTAAATATTATTTCATTTCACATCATTGCACTTATCCGGTATATTGCACATATTTGTTGTTTGTTTTTAAGTGTTAATCGTTATTCTTCTCTATTTCATATTTTGTCAATCTATTTCATATGTATATATTTCTACATTTATGTCAACAGTATGTTTACATGTAGCACCTTATCTCCAAAGCAATTTCAGTGTACGTGTAAAAACTACTTGGCAATAAATAATCTTCTGATTCTGAACTGGTTTATAATCTTGGTTGATAGAAAATTTCACTGGTGATAGAGGAAGAAAAGAAAGCATCTTTCTTGGCCTTGACATGTGTAAGAAAGTGCCCCCTGTCATTGGCAGGACCTGCTAGACTGTGACAATTCTGGAGTGAGAGAACCAGATTCAAAGGCAAACCCGATCTGGAGGATGATGTCTGAATTTAGGTTGAATTGGCTATCATCTGTGATTTCCCCTGCAGAAATTTGAACAGGCCTGGCTCCATGGGTTCTGTACACAGCTTTTATTAACATACGTGCCACGGCACTCTCCATCAGACTGCCGTGGCACACCTATTGGTGCGATCACCTATTTAAGTCATGTGCTTCACCATCATCACGAAATCCACCACATGGAAGGAAATGACCATGCTTTGCGCTATTCGCCATTTGCGAAATCGTCAGGAGAAAGTTACATCTGCTGACCGAGGCAAGAGGGAGCTCCAGTTCACTTTAATTCCAACATTGTCAGGTGCAGATAATGATGAGGTCATCTAGGTAATTTGCAGGAGGAAAATGGATCCAAATAATAGGACTACCGCATTTGGAGAAAGTGTGGGTGGGAATGGAGTAGTCAAAACAAAGTCTAAATAAGCTACCCTCTGAAGCCACTTGAACTTGGAAGTGACTTTAAAGTAGGGCTAAACCAGTTGCATGGTTGCACAAGCACCAGTAGCGTTTTGTGTGGGCATCCAAAAGGCAAAAAGTTTATTCAGATGTAAAGGAGGTGTGATGCCTTTACTGGATTTCTTGGGAACCAGAAAATAGATGGTATTGACCATTTTGTCATTGTCTTTTTGAGGAATTTCTTACATTGACCCCTTGAGAGACAGTTCTTGAATGTTACTGGAGAGGGATTGTGGTCTAGTGGGTCAGAAGGGTTGCTTTTACACAAGTGACAACATGGTGGATGGAACATGGAGACTGGAACAATTATATTCCTTAAAATAAATAAAAAATAAATGGTTGTAAAATATTGATGCCACTTCTAATACTTTGTCAAGGGGGAAGTAGCAAGGTATGGCACTGAAGCCAAAAAGCAAACTTGGTCCTGTTCCATTTAGGTGGAATAATCCAAGAGAAAATAATGACAATTTTGGAACTGGATAATCTCTTGTTCAAAGCAACAGGTAAGCAGTATGTTACAACAGCAGTTGACTAAGTAGAAATCCCCCAATCAGTTATCTGCTCTTGTTAGTAGCCAAACAGACTATTGAGATCCTCTTTTCATTGTTCACTCTTTCTTATGATATCTGAGAGGTATAGTGCATAATTTCTTTGAGAAAATAAAATAACAAAATGTTAAATGAAAACACACACAAGGTGTGTTGTTAAAACCATAACACAGTAATTTTGGACTGTTAATTCTTCTTTTTTAATTCATATTGACTTCACTTTGTATGAAAATGATATACTGAAATAATGGTTTCATCATTTTTATGATTATTTCATTTGGCTTTATATGACAAAATGAGAAGATTAAGCTGAAAAGTGTGACTAACCTTAACTTTTTGACTTTGCAGGCTACGCTTAGTTTGGCAATATATGTTGTACTGTACATTTGGGCTACCATAGAAGCCTTGAGTAATAATCTAAACAATAATAATCAAAATAGGAAAGGTGAACAGCCACACAGACTAATTTTTGTGGGTGGTAGAATTACTTGTTTAGGGAAATCACCTTGACAACAACCGTAGGATTGCCATTGCAGTCCACTATTATCTCGCGATGCTGATGATGCTAGAGTTTTGCCTTGTCGTTTGTTCTCTTTTCTTTGAGACCACAGCGTGAATGCAGCATTACCACTCGTGTGCCAGTGCGCGTACCTCCAGCCGGGTGTCACAAGGCTATAGGGTGTGCACGTGAACACGTGGTGCACGTTGGGGGCGCATTTGAAAAGGGGTGGGGGTACACGCAACGCCGTATGTCACTTGATCTCGAACATGAGAGCAGACAGATGAAGCTAAAGCGATTAAATGGGAGGGGGACTTTGCGTCACTGGAAAGGTGGCTGCCCTGGATATGTGAATGGTTTATGAAGAGAACTACATGAATGAAAGAACAATGAATTAACTTAATAGACCTATTACATTTAATTCGCCCTATTTTTGGAGCCCCTTTAAATCTCCTTAAGATAAAGTTAGTCAATATATTGCACAAGGTAGTCTCAAACCGTTAATTATGTGAGGCTGCTTTCAAGACAAAACATGAATTCATGCTGTTACAGTGCCTTGCGAAAGTATTCGGCCCCCTTGAACTTTTCAACCTTTTGCCACATTGCAGGCTTCAGACATAAAGATATAAAACTGTAATTTTTTGTGAAGAACCAACAACAAGTGGGACACAATCATGAAGTGGAACGAAATTTATTGGATATTTCAAACTTTAACAAATAAAAAACAGAAAAATTGGGCGTGCAAAATTATTCAGCCCCCTTAAGTTAATACTTTGTAGCGCCACCTTTTGCTGCGATTACAGCTGTAAGTCGCTTGGGGTACGTCTCTATCAGTTTTGCACATCGAGAGACTGAAATTTTTGCCCATTCCTCCTTGCAAAACAGCTCGAGCTCAGTGAGGTTGGATGGAGAGCGTTTGTGAACAGCAGTTTTCAGTTCTTTCCAAAGATTCTCGATTGGATTCAGGTCTGGACTTTGACTTGGCCATTCTAACACCTGGATATGTTTATTTGTGAACCATTCCAGTGTAGATTTTGCTTTATGTTTTGGATCAATCTCCGTCCCAGTCTCAGGTCTTTTGCAGACTCCATCAGGTTTTCTTCCAGAATGGTCCTGTATTTGGCTCCATCCATCTTCCCATCAATTTTAACCATCTTCCCTGTCCCTGCTGAAGAAAAGCAGGCCCAAACCATGATGCTGCCACCATGTTTGACAGTGGGTATGGTGTGTTTAGGGTGATGAGCTGTGTTGCTTTTACGCCAAACATAACGTTTTGCATTGATTTTGGTTTCATCTGACCAGAGCACCTTCTTCCACATGTTTGGTGTGTCTCCCAGGTGGCTTGTGGCAAACTTTAAACGAGACTTTTTATGGATATCTTTAAGAAATGGCTTTCTTCTTGCCACTATTCCATAAAGGCCAGATTTGTGCAGTATACGACTGATTGTTGTCCTATGGACAGAGTCTCCCACCTCAGCTGTAGATCTCTGCAGTTCATCCAGAGTGATCATGGGCCTCTTGGCTGCATCTCTGATCAGTCTTCTCCTTGTATGAGCTGAAAGTTTAGAGGGACGGCCGGGTCTTCGTAGATTTGCAGTGGTCTGATGCTCCTTCCTTTTCAATATTATCGCTTGCACAGTGCTCCTTGGGATGTTTAAAGCTTGGGACATCTTTTTGTATCCAAATCTGGCTTTAAACTTCTCCACAACAGTATCTCGGACCTGCCTGGTGTGTTCCTTGTTCTTCATGATGCTCTATGCGCTTTAAACAGACCTCAGAGACTATCACAGAGCAGGTGCATTTTACGGAGACTTGATTTCACACAGGTGGATTCTATTTATCATCATTAGTCATTTAGGTCAACATTGGATCATTCAGAGATCCTCACTGAACTTCTGGAGAGAGTTTGCTGCACTGAAAGTAAAGGGGCTGAATAATTTTGCACACCCATTTTTTCAGTTTTTTATTTGTTAAAAAGGTTTGAAATATCCAATAAATTTCATTCCACTTCATAATTGTGTCCCACTTGTTGTTGGTTCTTCACAAAAAATTACAGTTTTATATCTTTATGTTTGAAGCCTGAAATGTGGCAAAAGGTCGAAAAGTTCAAGGGGGCCGAATACTTTCGCAAGGCACTGTATTTCTGTTGTAGTTTGCTTGATATTGTTTATCAATTTGAGGTCAGATGTAGTTTACTCACTTCCAAACTGACCTGGGATATATCCATCCATCCATCCATTGTCAACCGCTTATCCTGCGTACAGGGTCGCGGGGGGCTGGAGCCAATCCCAGCTAACATCGGGCGCAAGGCGGGGTACACCCTGGACTGGTCGCCGGTCCATCGCAGGGCCACATATAGACGAACAACCACTCACGCACGCACTCACACATAAGGACAATTTAGGGTAACCAGTCAACCTAGCCTGCATGTTTTTGGACGGTGGGAGGAAGCCGGAGCACCCGGAGAGAACCCACGCAGACACGGGGAGAACATGCAAACTCCACACAGAAGGGCCGGGGCAACCCGGGGTTTGAACCCACGACCTTCTTGCTCCTGGGATATATTTATAGCACAATTTTACATCAGCTTATAAGAGTGGTGTACATTGTTTAAAGGAAAATAAAAGATAAAAAATACATGTTTTTCTGAAGGCATAATCTTCTAATCTGGGGATATTTGCCTGATAATTGAGTTCAGACCACTGTTTTATTCAAAAAAGGTGAGTATACTCATATACTCAGACATGACTATGCTATAGCCAAAATGCT